AATAATCATTACAGTACAGATAACAGCGATTAGAAGTGATAATTGTAATGAAGGAAATTGTTATAGAAATCTGTTGTAAAAATTGAATTCCAAAATAATTTCATACAATGACTGATGAATGATTTCAATCGATTTAAGCGGAATGATCAATAAATGACCATTTATATGTACCTTTTTTTTTTTTTTTTAAATAAATGACCATTTATATGACCAATGATATTTGATATTCGAAATATTCCAGAAGTATTAATTTATTTTTATTTGCTTTAACTAATTTTTTTTAACAAATGTATATTTGTTTGTAATTTATGAAAGGATTACTTCAACTATCATTTTCTTTTTTTTCACTCAAAACTTTTTACTCCTTCCTTTTTTAGTTTGAAGAACTTTTACGAATTATTTCATGATAAGTTGAATAAAAAAAAAGAAAAAAAACTATTTGGTGGATTTTTAGAATGAAAAAAAATTTTTTTTTTTTGAACTTTTATACTTGGCATTTTTTTTTTCTTTTTTTTTTTTTTATTAACAAAGATTAAATTTCAATTTGTATCAATCCCTAAATAAAACCAACTAACTATCATATCTATCAGATAGATCCAAACAACCAAATTCCATACCATTCATATTATCATTTATCATAATGTTTCAAATATATCTTTTATCAACAATTCCAATCACGCAAAAATTGTCGGTGAAATTTACTGTGTAATTATGCAAATGAATGACATCAGTAAACAACAACAAATCTAAAAAATACGCATATATATACACAGACACACACACACACGACACACACACACACATACACACACATACAACACACACACACACACACACATATATATATATATATATACAAGTAAGAAAATGATGTCCTGTAGATAACATACACATATCATTTATGAAAATTAAAAAAAAATTAATAAAAATAATAAACATGAAGGAAGGAATTGAAAACAAAATAACTCAAAATCTAAAACGAAAAAGTTATATAATAAATAATTATGAAGCAACTTATTTGATATCCTTTTTCATTTCAAATTATTATTACCATCATGTAAATATGGCAATTAATACAAATGATTTCATTGCTGTATATTTGATAAATTTCCGCTTAGTATCTGTACTAGAATGAAATTTAGTAACAAATTTCATTTATAACTATGGATGGCTGATCTATTTTTTTAGGTCATCTGTTTTTTTTGATCCAAATGATCTATTGATTTAGGTGAACCGTTTTTGATCTGGATGATCTATTGATCCGGGTGAATTATTTTTGATCTAGATGATCTGTTTTTTTGTTATAAAATATTTGCAATATTTATCATGTCTTATTTGTCCGCATGTTTGACTTCTTTTTGCGCATATTTTTATTTGCATTCAATTTCTTTCGTTTCCTTTTTTTTTTTTATTTACCAATTTTTCCATCCTGTCCAAAAATAGCAATTCAATTCAATTCAATTCAATTCATTTCCTCCGCCTTCTTTTTTTTTTTCTTTTGGATGAATTTTTGTTTGCAATTTTAAAAAATGATTTAATTGTTGTAAAAATAAATTTGCATAAGAATAACATGGCGAAAAAAACTGAACGCTAATTGAATTTTCTTTCCTAAATTGTTTATTATTGCAATCAAATAATTTACATAAATAAGTACTAGC